ACAAACGTAAATGTTTTTTTTTTTTAATACCGTTTACGTATTCCGCAACAGTACAGGAATTTCGTACCCCAAAGGGGCATTTTCACAAACAAGTACTCTACTGTCTACTTTGCGGGCGTTACATCTGGAGCAAACCACCTTGGTCATTGTGTGGATATGTCCTATCCACATAGTAGACCTAGAGTTTTTTGTACAAAATCTGCAAAGAAATTTTCTTCTTAAATCGTACCTCGAATGGCATTTGCTTCTTATCAAGAATAATGCACTGATCTAGGAAAAGAAAAACTCATAAGAAAAAAAGAGTAAATTACATTCTTAAACACTCACTATGGGCTTTCTCGCTCACACAGATAAATACAGGCTACGGCTCGATGATGGAACGTTAAAACAGAGGGGTGACTGGAGGAGGGATATTAAGCATTGATGACAGTGGTACAAGTTTGACAACTTTGACGTTGCGAAAAATCGCGATGTAAAGACAGCCGTTGTTGAACGTTATAATAGAACATTAAAGTCAAAAATGTTTAAATGCTTTGCTCCTGCAAATATTTGATGATGTCGATATGGATATATTTGCTACACCGTCATCATCATCATCGTCGTCGTTGCCCTCGTCGATGACAGGATTTGATTCTGGTGGTGAAATTGGCATTGCTTTTTTCGAGTGAAATTGTCTACATTGTCTACATAGCCTGCATGGCTAGCAACAGATGTGACCGAACTGTATTAATACTGCGAGATTCACGCTCTATAAATGAGCGAAATTTATTATCCAAATTATTCTTGTTTTGAATATCCACATTATTTATGCATCCGTCCCCCTCAGCCTTGAGACCACCTTAGCCAACTTTATTTAGGTTTGGTTATTGAGATGGTCATCCACATTTATTTTACTTTTTTTTTGTAAGAGAGGAGTGGCAGTGACGATTGTCTTAATTTTTATGAAATCCCTGTTTGATACTACGATCTCCATTTATTGTGAAATTCCTGTTGCGGCCAAGACTATAATTTTTTGGAGGAATTTTGATGTCTCGGCCCGGCATTTTTAAGTATAATTCGTACAAAATTTGATTGTTTTGAAAGCTATTGATGATATGTAACGCAGTCCTATCATCTCGATCGCCATCACCCATAATTTCAAATAGCATACTTTCAATAAATGCGTCGTTGAATGGAAAGTTCAAAGAACTATCGTAAAAATTTGCTTAAACTTAAGAACGAATAATGCCACACTCAGATGCAATGGTTCATATACTTCTTCATTCACCGGTTTAAAATTTAACACTTTGTTTTTGCACACAAAAACGCTGTAGTTTGCTATATCACACAAAAACATGTCACAGCCCACATTTCTCACCAAAGGAATATATTCGCGTAATTTTTTGGCGAGTTCTCCAAATTCATCTTTGGTAAACAGCGCCTCACGACTTCATATTTTCGAAGAGGTTGCACACCGATGCTGAAAAATGATATGTGACGTCATGTGTCTACTACGTCTGTATAAATTAATCGATTTGAGAACTGATAAAGAAATAAATAATAAGACCTACTTTAAAATTGATAACAAAATTTTTGAAATGAAATCGCAAAACTGATTTTCCTTATTGGTTTTACTTTCTTTTTTTAAAACGTAAATATAATTGTTGCGTTTTCTGTTTCCAATGAGATTGATTTGTTGGGCGCTTCTTTACCATATACTACATTGCTGAGTTTTTTCATGTATTTGAAGATAAACATTCTTATAAATCGATGAAAAAGTTTAGCTTTTAGTTCTTCGGAATGCATGCAAGCTCTCCCGAAAATCAAAATCAACTGTAATTCGCAGGTGGCTTATTATCCTTTTAGAAAGAGAAGGATGTTATGATTGCAGACGGAACCACAATGACGAGTGATGACGATTTTAATAAGAATTCTAATCACTCCGACATTCGCGTATTGTCACCGTCTTTTTTTACCATTATACTGTTTCTTCTCCGCAAAACCATGATGCTGAATGTCTGGGACGCCGTCATGTATCAAGTTTAATCGACAGATTTCACAGTCAAGTGGTTTTGGCATGTGTTTGACTAGAAATTCGCCGATATAACCTATAACATTTTGGTCATAATGATTATTCTTAAACACAGTATCAGGACTGGTGGCGGCTTACACGCTTCGACTGATCTTTGATACACTTCCGATTTATTTGAAGACTAGGAAACTCTTTAATTGAGATTACAAATGTCATCTTGCTCATAATTAGATCCACGAGAATGATAGGAGTAAAAATTCTTCATCATCAATGATTTATAAAATGGTACGAATGCTTTGTAAGAAGCATTTCTATCTTGTACTCCATATTGTCTTAATTGATCAAGATAATTCTCTTGATTAAAACCTTACTAGGAAAGAGTTATAATCATATGGCAAAGTAGTGGAGCTAGGCTGAGTGGATATCTCATCAGAGATGATAATACATAAATTGTACTTGGTGTCTCGTCATGGCGTGCCTTCAAATAATTTTCTGTACTCTTTCTTGGTATTCGCACTGACATACTTGGAGTGTCTTTTTTCGAAATTTAAAGTCGCGCTGCTGGTTTATTGCTCATGTGCCGAGGTCGCGTCACACATATACGTCAGAAGTAGGGTTATGTGTAATGGCGGATGGCGTCCGCCAGTTGTTTTCAGTCAATTGTCAAATGTGTTACAAGTTGACAGAAATTTTGCGACCGCAGAGCCATCTGCCTTGAGATCAAATGTGGCATAAGGATAGGTTTATGTACGCCCAGTATGAAAACACGAGAGAGATATAGAAACGAAGACAGACTTATAGGTCTGTACTGCATTGAAACGGTAAAGATGAACCGATTGTCATCGTTCAACTAATTTGACGTTTGTGCGAACTTGACCGGTTTTAGAATCAGTTATCTTCTAATCCCTAATTTTGAGTTAAAGATATATCAAAATCAAAGTGGATGCTTATTTAATTTGGATGTTAATAGTATAGGATATATATCCATAAACATAATACTTTGAATGAGTCCTTGGAATCAGTAGGGGGTACTTTTCTTAATTTTCCAAGATGGTACAACGACGCGATTTACAGTAATAGATGTTAATTGGCCCGTTGAAATGGAAGTGTCCATAGCATCTGCAACAACATTTGAATTTGGATGTGGGAGTAACATCTGCGGCTCACTACATTATTTTTCACATAATTTGCCAGTTTTTCCTTTTGTGGGGCATTGACATTGTCCCTACTAATGTCATCGGGTGAAGCCTCAAACATGGGGTATTCAGATTTTAAGATAATACCTGATGGATTAATTTTAATATTGCGTTTTTTGCAACCTGTAACATGTTTTCTAAATTTTGACATCGAATTGTGGCTTCTGTTCCATTAAATTTGACTGCCCCCATGATAGTCTACAAAAATGCAGTAAATATATATGCATAAAAAATACAATTACAGTACTTATACCTCAGTAAGTACTCCTTCCAGAGTATGACGGCTTTCATAAATTTGTGAAGCAGTAATGCGTCCAAATCTCATCTTCTTCCACAAGGAACAATTTGATTCGCCTCTATTTAACTTCTCAATTTGCTGACAATATTCATAATGCAATTCTTGTGTATGAGACATTTCATCAAAAACTAACGTACAATATCGATCCGCATTTTTCAGTTCTAGAAAAGGGTAATTGAAAATGTGCTTCTAAATACTTATACAATCGTGGACTTCTTTTATCCAAGGACAAAGGAAAAGCTTTATCTTGATCGGTCCACCTAAGCGCACTTGGTTTGCTGACGGCATTTCTTAATTGGGAATTAATGAATTCCTTTGTGACAAAATTTAAAGAATTATTATTAATGAATTCAAATTTTCCGGCCTTGTATAAGTTTTCCAAGATTTTTACTTTTTCCTTCTCCTTTTCCAAAAGTTTACTCAACTTTAACAACTTAAATTTGATGTTATGATGTGGTCTGTACATCGCACGTTTTGTGGGAGTAAGTTCCTTCTCTGAAAGTCCTATTTAGACAAAATTCCATCTTTACCCGAATTATCTAAAAAGTTGAATTTGTTAAAATTGGGACGAACTTCATTATTAACACTGATCTATAAAAAGAAAAACTCATAAGAAAAAAAAGAGTAAATTACATTCTTAAACACTCACTATGGGCTTTCTCGCTCACACAGATAAATACAGGCTACGGCTCGATGTTGGAACGTTAAAACAGAGGGGTGACTGGAGGAGGGATAAGCACTGATGGCAGTGGTACAAGTTTGACAACTTTGACGTTGCGAAAAATCGCGATGTAAAGACAGCCGTTGTTGAACGTTATAATGGAACATTAAAGTCAAAAATGTTTAAATGCTTTGCTCCTGCAAATATTTGATGATGTCGATATGGATATATTTTCTACACCGTCATCATCATCATCATCGTCGTTGCCTTCGTCGACGACAGGATTTGATTCTGGTGGTGAAATTGGCATTGCTTTTTTCGAGTGAAATAGTCTACATTGTCTACATAGCCTGCATGGCTAGCAACAGATGTGACTGAACTGTATTAATACTGCGAGATTCACGCTCTATAAATGAGCGAAATTTATTATCCAAATTATTCTAGTTTTGAATATCCACATTATTTATGCATCCGTCCCTCTGAGTCTCGAGACCACCTTAGTCATTGGGTGTCCGATCTACATAGCAGTCCTAGGTCTTTGGCACAAAATCTGCAAAGAAATTTCGCCCCAAGTTTTTAATTGCGGTGTCCGGTGGTGAATCGGGGGATACAGCGTTTGGATTTCTGGATGTCGTAGCACGTGAAGTACCCGGAGTATTTGTATGGTATCTGAAACCAGAAATTTGCGTTGTATCTAAGCATAACGTACCGGGGATGGAATTGGCGGGCTTGTTTAGGGTGGATGTACTCGGTATTATGTCTAATAAGTCGTTGAATGTAGAATACTGAGAACCATCCACGTTGTTAATACCCTCAGTTTGTGATTGCTCAGGCTCAGTTATATTGTAATGGTTTCTGATTCATCGTATTCTGTTTAACTGTCGTCAAACTACTGTAAACATATTGAGCAATTAAACTAAGCATTCTAAAATCCCCAAATTCGTCACACCTTTGGGAAACATCCACAAGGTCTCGAACAAAATAATCGTGATCTTGAGGATTAATGTTGCATGTTACTTTACCGAGACTTTTGTACGAGAACTTCAAACAGTACTTGAAGTTGACTGAGTGTTAAAACATGAGCACAACATTCATATCAGCACAGTAAAAACGGCACAGTGCCTGGGGCCCTATTCTTGAACTCATGCGACTTCAAGTCGTATACGAAAATCGTCGCATGGTGATTTCGCATGCGAAAGATGAAAGTCGCACGCTCTGTATTCTTGAGCGCTAGACGAATACAATTTCGCATGCGACGTATTTGCGTACAGTCGTAGATAAGTTCATACGGCCTAGATGATGCTTTGCTGTCAGAAACCACTATCGACCAATGGAAGATGAGAGGGAAAATTTAACGTTTTAAGTACAACAAAGATTAATTGGAAGTCCCGTAAGTTAATAATATGGAATTTATCGGTTTTACTGTGAATATTATGTTGACTATCAAGTGATATCAATATAACTGGAAACAGCAAATAATATAATTCGCAGAATCGCTGAAAATAATCGCTAATAGGTTAAGGAGAAATAATGGTAGTCTGTTATAAAATAATAAATATATTTCATTTATTTTCAAAAATAATTTCTTATTATTCGAGCTTGCATTGTGCGCCCTGCAGCAAGTTGCGGGTTGACTTGCTCGTTATGTGCAATTAGCTCATCATTGACATTCATACCAAAATCCACTTCTACCTCATCGTTGTCTTCTGGTTCTTCTACATTATTAGCAATGCACATATTGTGCAATACTACACAGGCCTTGATTATTTTTCCCGCTTTTTCGGGGTGGTAATGCAACACTCTGTGTTTAAGCAAACACCTAAACCTCATTTTCAAGACACCATTACACCTTTCGATTATAGATCGTGTCCTTTTCTGCGACTCGTTGTATCTACCTTCAGGGGTATTTGGGACGGCATTTTGAATTGGCGTCATGAGCCATGGCCTAAGAGCATATCCTGAATCACCTGCGTAAAAAATATTGTTTGCCTGATTTATATGAAATGTTGCTTAATATTTACCTAAAACATAATAAGTCGAATGACCTCGAGTATGCAAGTTTTGTAGGAAGTCTAGCACGTTGCTATTGTTCCATATAAAACTATCATGGGTGCTTCCAGGATATCTTGCATTTACATTCAAAATGCGCAGGTTAGCGTCACATACCTATATATAAGACCGTCGCCTGCGTTGACAGTTGCGCTGATAAAGCCTGCCGAATAGCGAAATTGGACGATATGCAAAATTTGGACACATTTTGCTGAGGGCGCTAGTTATCCTTCGTTGACAGTTGACCAATTTGAATGTACAGAAGAAATTGTTGGTTTATGATGTTCCGTGTAGGTTTAGGATTGTTGGTGAAGTTTTTCATTGATTATTATTGATTGATGAAAATGGTTTCGGTTAGTCAGTTACACACCTTCGTACACCTCTCTCTTACACCTTTGTTAAACTGGGGAACTGCATGGCTTTTTAGCCTGCATCTACCCACAGAATCGTAGAAAAAATAATTTTTATTTAAATGAAGAATACAGACTTTTGGCCTCTCCGAAGGAGGTTCAAAGTTTTCTTAAATGAAATTAACGTTCATTATTACGTTATATCAAGAATTTTATTTATTTTTTAATAGTTAAAGAATGCAAACCTTTCGAATTTTCCCCAAGAGTGATACTTTTTATCCACGCAGAAAACCTCTGCTTCTGCGTTGGAAACTCGTGGTAGGTAACATTTGAATCACTGTTTGAACAGGATGGTATACAACAATGCATTTTTAATCGTATTTTATTAGTTCAAAATTACGAAAATTACATATACAAACAAATGTGTCAAATTCAAATTTGAACTGTCATTCAAGGATAACTAGCGCCCTCAGAAGGAAAATGGCGTCGAAAGTAACTACTGGATTATCTGTCAAAGGTGGCTATTCGGCAGGCTTTATCAGCGCAACTGTCAACGCAAGCGACGTATAAGACATATTGTTAATGTTACTTTATTTTTTATCATACTGACCAATTGAACATTTATGGAGTGATAATTTTTTCTGTTCACATAAGTATGTTCTGGATACACTGCGTCATTTGATTTTGGAGGTACAATTGCAACATGTGTGCAATCTACACAACCAATGACCCCCGGAAACTGGTATCGCTGATAAAACCTGTTAGATATTATATTGATATTCACATAATTAAGATAAAAATATAAAAAACCTACTCATTTCGTATATTATTAAGTTCTCTAAAATTTTGGGGAAATTTAACCCACTCATCAAAAATTTGGGGTTGATTTAGAGCCTCAACGACTTCATTGATGCACCGACTTGTGGAAGCCTGACTGACAGCACTATTCACATTTTTACCAATGTCAAGCTGGTAGCTGCCCGAAGCAAAAAATCTAAGTGCTGTTAAGACCTGTAAAATATAAAAATGCTAAATACAACAATTTATAAAAGTCTTATATAATTTACTTTTACTGATGTGTCCAATGCAGAGCACCTCGTTTGTGGTACAATGTAGGGGTCCACCAAGTCAATGATATTTTGTGCTAATTCTTTTGTCATCCGGTACATCTTTAAAAATACTGCATCAGAAAGCAGTTGAAATGGATCTGAAAACGCGGAGGTCTGTGTCGTTGTGCTGCTATTTCAATTTCTTCTTCGGCATTTAAAACGGCTTGTTGAACTAAATCACCCATTTTCTGTTCACACAACATATCTCTATATTGTAAAAAGAAAACACTGTAATTTTACTTACTTTTCGATAAATCGGCAATTACCTAAAGGCACTTTTTTTTTATTCACACAATCACAACAGAAAATGTAAACATAAACATGTGAGTTAACCTCAAAATCACTCCATCACTCAGTTGTCAGCAATGCGATTCGCTGAGTTTCGGTACGAGTTCGGTAATAATCGTACCCACTTTCGTATACGAAATTCATTTTCGCTCGGTAAAGACCATGCGTTGCTTTTCGTACGACAAATTCGTATACGACTGACCGTTTTTCGGTTCAAGAATGCGAAGTTTGACAATCGTATACGAAATGAAGGATTTTCGTATACGAAAGTGAGTCGCATGAGTTCAAGAATAGGGCCCCAGGACTGGTGGTGGCTCCACGATTCCACTGATCTTTGATACACTTCCGATTTATTTGAAGACTGGGAAACTCTCTAATTGAGATTATAATGTCGTCATCTTGCTCATAATTATATCCACGAGAATGATAGGAGTAAAAATTCTTCATCATCAATGATTTATAAAATGGTACGAATGCTTTGTAAGAAGCATTTCTATATTGTACTCCATATTGTCTTAATTGACCAAGATAATTCTCTTGATTAAAAACTTGCTAGGAAAGAGTTATAATCATATGGCAAAGTAATGGAGGTGAGGCTGAGTGGATATCTCATCAGAGATGATAAACACATAAATTGTACGTGGTGTCTCGTCATGGCGTGTCTCCAAATAATTTTCTGTACTCTTTGTTGGTATTCGGACTGACATACTTGGAGTGTCAATTTTCGAAATTTAAAGTCGCGCTGCTGGTTTATTGCTCATGTGCCGAGGTCGCGTCACACATATACGTCAGAAGTAGGGGTATGTGTAATGGCGGATGGCGTCCGCCAGTTGTTTTCAGTCAATTGACTGTTTGCGCTAAGCGATTCGCCCTCTGCCGTGAAAATGTGGCGTTAATCCTACAGGGATAAATCAACGTACGCAGTACTAGTTGTGTGGTAATTTACTATAAAAAATGAGTGTTGTGTTGAAATCTGTGCATTCACGCCGTAAAAGCAGTAAATCTAATGTAAACTGCTGCGTTTATAAGTGCAATAGTGTCAATAAAAAGAATCCTGAACTCTCATTTCATAAATTTCCACCTCTGGGACAAAAAGTAAGACATACTTCTGGAATTGGTGAAGTAACTTTGACTGATAGACGAAAACTTTGGGAATTGAATTTAAAAATGGGCAAAAGCGTAACACCGTACATATATGTGTGTTCCCGGCACTTTACCAGTGCAGATTACATTACTCCTGATGAAGGTATAACCTAGAAATATTTACAAAATGCGTACAGAGGTTTTCACTTTAATTTTAGATTGTTACACTAGGCGATTTTTAAAGAAAACCGCAGTCCCTACTCAACAGTTGCCAGAAAGGAGTGTTTATAGTGAAAGGTCAAAAAAAAAATCAGAAGAAAGGGTAGAACGACTTAACAAAAGAAGAAAATTGGTATGTAGAGAAGGCAATTTTTTAAAATGATCGGTAGAAAATAAATACATTTTTTAGGATATAACTGTGCAAGAACTCAATGAGGCTGGTATTGAGGCTGAAAATTCATTTAAAAGGAATGATGCAGCTGAAGCATTGTTGAGTCTCAAAGAAGCCCCACTTGGAGTGACTGACAATGAGAATTGTACTTTTCCAGTGATTACTAAACATTTCCAAGATTGTTCCACACAGACTGAAGAAAGTAGTTTTTGGGATAATACTAAACCTATGAAAGATACCAGTGTTCAAGTGAACACTTCTTGGTTTTCGGTAGCTGATTTTATTATCAATAATAATAAGGCGTTAAGTATTTTAACCGGAATTCCATCATTTAATGTTCTGTATCTTTTAATTCATTTACTTTCTAAATTTAAAAAAGATGTTCGTTCTCATCGTTTAAGTATTAAACACCGTATTTTATTGGTCTTTATGAAGTTAAAGTTAGACTTGACTTATTCAGCTCTTGGGATTTTATTTGGTGATATATCAGTAACATCAATAAAACGAATTTTTTCTGAAACTGTACAGATTTTGGCTGATATTATGAAAGAACTTATTTACTTACCACCTAAAGAGAATGTGTTACAAAATATACCTATGTGTTTTAAAAAGTACCAAAAAGTACGAATTGTGTTAGATTGTACCGAGGTTCATGTGCAAGCACCAAAGAAACTATGTTGTAGAATAAAATTATATTCCAATTACAAAAAATCCAATACAGTAAAGTTCATGACAGGAGTTACTCCTGCTGGTCTTATCAGTTATGTCAGTCCCGCGTACGGTGGTAGAGCATCTGACAAGAGTATTTTCGAACAATCAAATCTCATTGAAAAACTTGAACCATATGTGGACCAAATAATGGTGGATAAAGGGTTTTTAATCGAACAGTTTTGCGAAGATCGTGGAATTGGAATTGTAAGACCTCCATTTTTAAGAAATAAAAAGCAATTCAATAAAGCAGAGGCTCTTGAAAGTAAAAGCATTGCTGCAGCTCGAGTCCACATAGAAAGAGTAAATGCACGAATTAAAGTTTTTAGGATATTGAAAAATACGTTAGCAGTGCATTTACTTTCAATTGTTGATGATATTTTTATAGTAATTTGTGCGATCGTAAACCTAAGTAAGCCTGTAATGCGAGATGATTTATTTTTAAAAAAATAAGATTACAAAAAAATTAAGTATATTATTACATCCTAACTATATATTTTTTAATTTCCTCATAATGGTAATGCACTTGGAATTACTAGAGTAAATAAAATTCTACACCTTTATTGGATTTTTTTTCCTCCACAAACATAATGTACCATATTGCTGAAATATTTTTTACAAATTTTATCCATTAACATACCTGCGAAATTTTCGTTAAATGGTATAATAATTTGTAAATAACTTTCATCTTTCGAACAAAATATTATAAAATCACAAATTTTTAAATTTAAAATGGCCATTCCCAATTGTATTTGGGAATAATAAGCATGCGACTCTTTTAATGTTAGGTCATCATTTAAATACATTAACCGATTTTCAGTTAGAACTTCTTGGATGGATTTAGTTTTTCCTGTAAGAAATTTCCATTAACTTTAAATAACGAAAAAAATTAAACCACTTACCCAAAAAGGGCACTTAATTTCCACAAGTCTGGTTGGTTCCTCATTTTCAAAAACAATCCCGTCAGGGGAGTATGCCAACCAGGGATACTTTTTACAAATCAAAATTCCCATTGTTTTGACACTGTAAGTGGGATTTTGATTTGCAAATGCCACTAGTGCAGACCCTTCATGTTTTCGGCCGTGGGCCATCGCTTGTGTCATGACGTCTTTTTTATTAAAAAAATTGTTTAACATAATTGTCCAATCATTTTTTTTTAACTGTAGACAGTATGACATGTCGATCCTGTAAGTTATGTTAATTAGTTTTGATAAATAAATAAAAGTATTTATTTCTTACCTGTTATTCTATTTTTTCTAAAGACTTTCCACTCAAGACTACCTTGTTTGCAAACAAGTCCATTAAGAATAATGTCAGCTTTAAATAATTCTATAATTTGTTTGCAACATTCATTGCTAACAGTGCAGTCAATTTCTAACCTGTGCATAAATGTTGAATTTTTCGAATTATTTAGAATTTTCTCTAAATATGGGGGAATTTCAAGAGTCTCTTCTTCGATGTCTTGCCTTCGACCAATTCTGCACAACACAGTAGATGTGAATTTAATTAGGCACTACCTACAAAACCTACCTATGTAAACTAAATGCACATATTGGCACAGATGTTGAGGCTATTGTACGAACCTCTTCTGCCTCTTCTTTTGAAAGAGTTATATGTCTTCTTTCCATGACAGGTTTCCAACATTCAGTCTCTTTCAGAGGTTGTGGCAAATACTTAGTTTCTAGTTTTGGCTTCTTGTTTTTCCACAAACAACCTACATCAGTACTCGACAGTTCTTCTAAGTCATTTACTGGTTTCCTAAAAGAAAAAAAAACACACAATTTTAAAGACTTCATGATGCCATTTGTAATATCAATCAAAATACAACCTGGTGCAAAACAGCAACGTTGCAGCTACATGTTTGCAGCTTCCCGAAGCTCCTGCTGCACAAGTGCAAACAAAATTTTCAATTTCTACGTGCTGTCCAACTTTTATGACCCCTGTTATTTCATGTGGATCCTTTTTTATGTGACTACTTTGCAGACAGAAAGCTTTAAGGCCCCATTCCTCATTCATTCTGTGCGTTGTGCCACATAAAATTAAATGCTCGGCCTCCAGAACATTTTCACCTTCCACAAAACATCTACTAGCAGGGGTTGCACTTAAGTAATTGCACACAGTTGATAATTTCAAGTACATGTTGGTTGCTATTGTCACTAATTTATCAGTAAATTAAACTAAATTAACACTAAATTGTCACAGAATTGTCACTAAACTGTCGATTAAATAAAATTCGTACAAAAACACATCAAAAACTGAAGAACACTGTCGTAAATATAACAATTGTTATACCACGCTGTATTAAACACATGCTAACCTACACGGAGTATCCCTGTAGCGTCAAAAATCAGCTGTTGTTTTTGACAGCAAAAGAGTGGGGATGGCGAAGTGTTAATTCTCAATTGTCAAATGTGTTACAAGTGACAGAAATTTTGCGACCGCAGAGCCATCTGCCTTGAGATCAAATGTGGCACAAGGATAGGTTTATGTACGGCCAGTATGAAAACACGAGAGAGATATAGAAACGAAGACAGACTTATAGGTCTGTACTGCATTGAAACGGTAAAGATAAACCGATTGTCATCGTTCGACTAATTTGACGTTTGTGCGAACTTGACCGGTTTTAGAATCAGTTATCTTCTAATCCCTAATTTTGAGTTAAAGATATATCAAAATCAAAGTGGATGCTTATTTAATTTGGATGTTAACAGTATAGGATATATATCCATAAACATAATACTTTGAATGAGTCCTTGGAAACAGTGGGGGGTACTTTTCTTAATTTTCCAAGATGGTACAACGACGCCATTTACAGTAATAGGTGTTAATTGGCCTGTTGAAATAGAAGTGTCCATAGCATCTGCAACAACATTTGAATTTGGATTTGGGAGTAATATCTGCGGCTCACTACATTATTTTTCACATAATTTGCCAGTTTTTCCTTTTGTGGGGCATTTAACTTCTATGACATTGTCCCTACTAATGTCATCGGGTGAAGCCTCAAACATGGGGTATTCAGATTTTAAGATAATACCTGATGGATTAATTTTAATATTGCGTTTTTTTGCAACCTGTAACATGTTTTCTAAATTCTGACATCGAATTGTGGCTTCTGTTCCATTAAATTTGACTGCCCCCATGATAGTCTACAAAAATGCAGTAAGTATATATGCATAAAAATACAATTACAGTACTTATACCTCAGTAAGTACTCCTTCCAGAGTATGACGGCTTTCATAAATTTGTGAAGCAGTAATGCGTCCAAATCTCATCTTTTTCCACAAGGAACAATTTGATTCTCCTCTATTTAACTTCTCAATTTGCTGACAATATTCATAATGTAATTCTTGTGTATGAGACATTTCATCAAAAATTAACGCACCGTATCGATCCGCCTTTTTCAGTTCTAGAAAAGGGTAACTGAAAATATATGCAAGGACAAAGCAAAAGCTTTATCTTGATCAGTCCACCTACGCGCACTTGGTTCGCTGACGGCAATTCTTAATTGGGAATTAATGAATTCCTTTGTGACAAAATTTAAAGAATTATTATTAATGGATTCAAATTTTCCAGCCTTGTATAAGTTTTCCAAGATTTTTACTTTTTCCTTCTCCTTTTCCAAAAGTTTAACAACTTAGATTTGATGTTATGCAGTGTTCTGTACATAGCACGTTTTGTGGGAGTAAGTTCCTTCTCTGAAAGTCCAATTTAGACAAAATTCCATCTTTACCCGAATTATCTAAAAAGTTGAATTTGTTAAAATTTGGACGAACTTCATTATTAACACTCATTGAGTACCTGTGATATTGAAAACTAGCAAAATTAATTGTAATCTAATTCATCAACTCTTCTGCATCTTCATTGCTCATATCTCTGAACTCATACGTTAAGTATTGAGCAAAACGATCATACTTGTTGTCTGTGTGTTTCACTGCCGGAACCAATGAGTGCAATGCATTGGAGACATCCTGCATCACACTGTCAACATCTGATGTGACTCCCGAAGGAGTGATGATGGAGTTTCAATGATAAACTCAGTGCAATCTACACTACCAATTACATTAGGGTATTTATTTACAAATGTCTTTGGTATTCTTTCCATTAAAATGTGGAAAAATTTTGTAGCTAGCGAGTTTCATATACAATAAATTAATCCAAATGAGAAATATACGATTAACTGTTGGGATAGAAATTCTGAACATGTCAGCTAACGTCTCATGATCATCCCTCTTCTTAACTTCATCAGTGTTGTAAAAAATTCATTCAACGGATAAACCTAATGCCATTTTTTTGTGTGCTTTTCACTGATGCTGATCAGTGTAAGTTCCAGATGGCCCAGTTTCTGATTTAAATACCGGTTGTAAATGTCGGGATTCTAGTGTAATAAAAGATTTTTTTTTTCGTTGTTCATAAAATTTTCAAGAAAAAAGTGATCACACTGCTTCACACACAGAAACTGTATTTAAAAAAAATGGAGTTACTAGAATGTGAATTATCGATTAAAACAAACAAAAAAAAAAAAACACTAGAGTTGCTAGAAAAATAAAACATTTTTTTATTTTGCATTAAACAAATAATACATATGCATGTACTAAATTATAAATCCACCTGCAGTCAACATATTTCGAAAATAATCAATTATTGTTCCCCTTTCTTCAACACCACCATCGTTATTTTCTACACCATTATATACCACAGCCTGATCCTCTTCATCATCCCCTTCAAAAACTTCTTCATTTTGTTGGCAGGCAATGTTGTGTAAAATGGCACATGCCACCACAATTCTCTGTGCTAAATTCAGTCGACACCTTATACCCACACTTAGCACCGGAAATCTACGCTTCCAGATTCCAAATGTTCTCTCCACAACATTCCTAGTTCTTATTTGTGATTCATTATAAAGATTTTCTGCCTGTCCTTCAGGAT